CATGCTGCCGGACGTGATGGCGCTGGTGGTGGCGCTGGTGGCCGTGCGCTTCGCGCAGCGCACCCGCGCCACCAAGAAGAACACATTCGGCTGGGTGCGCGCCGAGGTGATGGGTGCGCTGGTCAACGCTGTCTTCCTCACGGCGCTCTGCTTCACCATCCTGCTCGAGGCCATCGAGCGCTTCACTGAGCCGCACGAGATCCAGCAGCCACTCGTCGTGCTGGTGGCCGGCGTGGCCGGGCTGATCATCAACCTGCTGGGGCTCTGCCTCTTCCAAAGAACACATTCGGCTGGGTGCGCGCCGAGGTGATGGGTGCGCTGGTCAACGCTGTCTTCCTCACGGCGCTCTGCTTCACCATCCTGCTCGAGGCCATCGAGCGCTTCACTGAGCCGCACGAGATCCAGCAGCCACTCGTCGTGCTGGTGGCCGGCGTGGCCGGGCTGATCATCAACCTGCTGGGGCTCTGCCTCTTCCACCAGCACGGCCACGGCCACGCGCACGGCGCTGCCCTGCCACCGCCACGCGCCAAGCTGCAGCGTTGCCCTGGTGAGGGCGATGCTGCCCTGCACAAGGAGGAGACCAACATGCTGGTGGACAACTACAGCGGCCCCAACGGGCTCAGCCAGGAGCAGCTGGGTGAGTCCCAACGAAGCTGGGGGCTGCACCCCCCTTGGGGGACAGGGGAGAGGCCCTCTCCTGTCCCCTCCCCACCCTTGCTGCCAGGGGCAGGGGCTGGGTTAATGTACAGGCAAGCCAGGCACATGCCTAGGCCACTAAATGAAGAAGTGGCCTGGTTGTGGGTCTCTTACACATTATGATTGTTGAGTGACAATCAAGTTGGGGTGCACAAGTTGGTTTGCTGAGGTCCTGCTAAAGGGTTCACATGGCCCTGGGAAGGGGACCAATGATGTCCCGGAGCATCCCAGCACTTCTGGAGCTTGCCCGGGCACTGGCAGAAAGAGGGCAAAAGACCCCTGGTCGGTGCGGGTAAATGTGCCCTTTGCCTAGTGGGGTGTAGGAAGAACATACGCCAACTGCAGATGCTTCTTCAGCCTGACGAAGGGTGTTTGTACCTGAAAGGTCGCTAAGAAGATTTTTTTCCAGCTATTTGAGTTGGTCTAATAAAAGATATCGGATTTACCCAAAGAACCTTGTCGCCCTTTGCCTAGTGGTTTTTCTTCGTGTGACTTCACCTAGCAGTTTGTTTTGTTTTTTTTTAAGGGTTGTCTTCCCCCCCCCCGAGTTTCAAAGAGCTTTGTAAAGGTAAAGAGAAACAGGTGGTTTCTCCATTTTGTAGCTGGAGGCACTGAGGATTTCATGATGCATTTGTAAGTCTTGCGGGGAGTCCCTTGGAGCAAGAGGCAGCTGTCTGCCACCTTGCACATCCCAAACTGCTGCCCTGCTGTGCTGTGACCCGGCTCCAAGCTGGGCAGCATATAACCCAGCACCTCTGTCCTGATACTCAGGGCTCTCCTGGGGATTGGGACTGGCTACATACTTGAGAAATTGCCACTTCCCTCATGTTCACGGTGGGCAGGGTGTTGTTCCAGGGGAGCAAGAAGATGTCCCCCAGTTGCGGGGAAGCTCATCTGTGCAGGAGACGGAGCTCTGGCAGGAGCTGGATGCAGACCGCACAACTTACTTCTGCAAGAGATAAAGCTTCCAAGTTTCTTCTTAGCTATGTGTTGTGTGTGCATGGGTTTGCACCTTGATAGATGTACACACATGCACACTTTCTCACATCCACATACACACAGGTATGTGTATGTACACACAAAATCAAAGTTGTTTAAAGCTGTTCCTTCCACAGATTCTGAAAGGAATGATCTTGTTAAATGCTTAGGAGCCATTCAAATGCTGCAGGGGCAGGGACCATACAAGGATGTGTAGTCACTTGGTCAAGGTCAAAAGCAAGTTGTCAAATGAGTTCAAGAGAAGTGAATTGCCCATTGCCACTAGGCAGTACTGCCTTCCTACCCTGAAGGAGAAATAGGTGTTGAAGCCCTGATGCCTTACAGTGTTGGGATAATGTAAGGAGACCATCAATCCTGATCAAACTGGGTTGGAGACGTACAGGAAACTTGGCTACAATTGCTATTTTTGTATTAGCTAGGTGAGTGATTCACAGAGTTGTTAGTACCATTCATTCATCTACATTCCGTATTGAGCAACTTCTTTTTCTGCTTTCTTTGCCTACTTGGTGTCTTTTTAATGGTGCTTTTCTTCCAGACATGGCAGGGACTTGTTCTGGAAATCTCCAATAGAAAAAGAAAGAAAATACCTGATCATTACCAAATAGTGTTGTGTGTTAGTTTTCTAAAGATCAGTTTTGTGAAAGTATAGGAAAATTATGGTACTGATCCTAAAGCATTAACCTGACCCTGAAATAAGCCGCTTTAATTTTGCATCTCTTCCTAAGTATCCTAGTAATTAGTTTGAAAAGATTTTAAACCAGTGGAAGATGTCTAAATGAGACATGGCTGTGTGACGAATACTTCTGTTAGAGAGGGACTAGAGTTGCACCCTGGCTAGAGTTGTGACTAATTTTCCATTAAGTGGTTTTTTTTGTTTTGTTTTTTGTTTTTGTTTGTTTGTTTGTTTTTTTTGTTGTTTTTTCTGTGGTTTTTTTGTTTTTTAAAGTAGGTAGCTTCAAAACTTAACAAGTTAGCCTGAAATGTCTCATGGTTGCCCCTCTGGCAGAGAATAGTGCTTTAGGTAGCAGGATAAGCAGCGGAGTATATGTGAAAGTTTAAATAAGTGGTATACTGTGTTATGCCGGTCCTGGAATCTTCAGTAAGGATGCCAAATTTGTCCTTGGTGGGAACTGGTTCCTATGTCTATTTTTGTGAATGGTGGAATTAGCCATAGTTAGACTCATTGATGTGTTAGCCATATCAAAATATTACAGACCAGAGTGCTTCAATATACAAGGAAACACGGTGAAATGATACCCAGTGGTTGTATCCCAGGACTGAAAACGGCATAGGCAGATGGACTGTTTTTCTTGAAGTGGGGGAAGAGGGCTGCCACCTGTTAAGTGTATTCGAGCAGGCATAGCCCAGATATCTGCATCTCTGCCTGAAATGCTTAAAGGTGATCGGCCTCTAGTAAGGTTTTAAGCCTCAGTTATTTGAAGACCTGAAGAAACTTGTTTCAACTTACTCTGCTATAATTTGTCCATGATAAAGGGAATGTTCTTCTAGTGAATGTGACAGGAACTTAAAAGTCAAATTGGGTTTCTGGGGTATAGGTTGTAATTATTGGAACTAAACTGATCTGAGTTCCAGCCTTATGCATTTATGTATCTGTCTTCTGAAGTATGTGGGTCATATACTGTTTGGATCATTGCATTTATTCAGTTGTACATGCTCCAAGGGACACCTCCTCCCCTCTCCCTCCCTCAACCTCCTCCTCCCCTCCCCACAAGACATAGGGATGTATCATGAAATTCCTCCATTAGATGCCTCTAGCTACAAAATGGAGAAACTACCTGTTTCTCTTTCAGTTGTGGGAAACATTGCCATGAACTTCAAAACAAAAAAAGTAGTACTCATGAAGCAATGTGCATGTAGACTTCCATCAGGCATTGAATAGAAAAAATGCTTTCAAAGCTTTTTTTATTGTATTTAATTTCTGTGTAAAACGTGTGCTTTTCTGGGTCTTGAGCACAATCATGAATTCCATAGTTTATATTTACATAATATAAAAAGTAGGGGTAAGATTCAGACCAAACTGAATTGCCAAGATATAATCTATAAATGAGTGGCGGAGGATTTAAAACATCCATACAGAATCAGTTTTTTCATTACAATAGTTTGTTTTGGGACCATAGTTTCCAAATTTTATTGCAAGTTAAGCCATGAACTCATAAATGTTTAGTCTATAATACCCTTATTTTAATGATGTAGTGAAATAGTGTAATCATTGCACTGCTTTCTTTGCAGGTGATGTAGAGAAAGATGGCAAGGATGACCTACAAATGAATGGGAATGCTGGCCGTCACTCTCTGGACATTGATGTTGAAGACACTAGTGGACAACTTAACATGCGTGGAGTTTTTTTGCATGTTCTTGGAGATGCATTGGGGTCAGTTATTGTGGTGGCGAATGCCTTAGTATTTTACTTCGTTTGGAATCCTTGTCCCAAAGATGGGCCCTGTGTTAATCCTTGTATCAATAGCCATTGTATGGAAAATGCTACTGTAGCCCCACCACTTTCCACGGTTAGCCCTTTGGAGCATGTGGCCGGTCCATGCTGGGTACTATATTTAGATCCCATTCTTTGTCTGATGATGGTGTGCATAATCCTTTACACAACTTACCCGTTACTTAAGGAATCGGCCCTTATCCTTTTACAAACTGTTCCAAAACAAATAGATATTCGTTCTCTGAGCCTGAAGCTGCATACACTTGAAGGAGTTGAAGCAGTCCATGAATTACATGTTTGGCAATTGGCAGGCAGCAGGATCATTGGCACTGCTCACATAAAATGTCATGACCCTGAATCATACATGAAAGTGGCTAAGCACATTAAAGAGATTTTTCATGATGAAGGAATTCATGCTACTACCATTCAGCCTGAATTTGCCAGTGTAGGCTCTGAATCAGGTGTAGGTAATTGCGAGCTTCCCTGCAGAACTCAATGTGCTTTGAAGCAATGTTGTGGGACATCAGAAAACAGCGCTGAAAAGGAGATGGAAAAATCGTCTACAATTGGTATTTCATGTTCAGAAGTCATCACTGATTCTTCACACAGCAAAACTAGGAGGACTAAATCTGAGAGTATACCTGCTGTTAGGCTAGAGGCAAATGCTGACCAAAACAAACAGTTTGAATCATCTTTATAATTCCCAAAGTGGTGCTGCTTATATTTTGATGGCTTCACCCACAGCATTGTTGCAAGAAGAAGAGACAGATGTTCTGAGATACACTACTTGGCAAACTTGTATTTGCTGATGTCCCTATTCTTGTCACTTTGCTAAATCCAGAATACTTGTTTTAAGGAACATGATCATGTATCATGACATGATATGCTTGTGTTGACTGTGGTGAATGAGTCAGAAAGTGCACCAATGTTGTAACAACTTCAGAATGCCATTTCAGCCGAGACGACACTTTTTGTTGCACTTCAGATTTAAAATATCTCTTCCCATGAAAAGTTACTTGAGAGAGAAGTAAATAGGAACTTAAATTGTGTTACAAACTGCTCATTGGAGCTACTTTTTTCCTTTAATATTTGATTTGTAGATATTTTAATATATTTTTTATTTAGAAAACATAAGGAAACCAAAGTTCATAGATTTTTTTTTTTTTTAAATATAACTACTTAAAACTGGAAACCACTTTGTTAGTTTCATGCATTTTCCTTAAACTTAGAAAATGAAAAATATGGACACTTTTCTAATGGATTTATTACATAGCATATTTAAAAAAAAAAAAAAAGGAAAAAAGCATATCACATGATTGTTAGAAAGTGATCCATGTTTTCTCATGGGGGCTGTGAGGTGATTAAAAGTGGCTGCTTGTTTAAAAAAAAATTGGTTGCGAAAGGTATGTTTTGTTAAAGTATAAATTCAGTCTGCTATGTAACCCTCTTAGGCTGTGTAATTGTCAGAAAAATTATTTATAGTTTCAGTTACCACTTTATGAATTAGTGTTGTTTTTCCTTTTCAAATTCAGTCATTTTTATTTCATTAGCTTATTGTTTAAGTTGTAGAATTTTACACAACACACATTCTGGTGCTGTAACACTGAAGTTGTAGCTTTAATTTTTAAGAGTGCTTCATTTAAATAAGTTAGTTTTTATCATGGTAATGCCAACCAGTACTGTTAAAGGGAAGGATCTTTCAAAACTGGCATTATAATTCCTGTAACTCTGCCCCCAAAAACTCACGTGGATGTAAATTTGTGCAGATAATCTCTGTCTGATAGGCCCAATTCTGTCCCCATGAAGTCTGTGAGAGATTTGACTTCTTCATTGTGGATGGCATGTAATCCAATATATTTTACTTTTTAGCATGTCAAGAATTTACCTATGGGATATTTAAATGTTTACTTTAAAACCAAGAGACAACTGGCTCTGAAGAAGCTGTTACAGTGTACTGTCAACTAACATATTTACAAAAAATGTTGCATGGGTGAGAGTAAAAGACAGTGTAAATGGGAATGCTAGGGACTTTAGTCCCCCACTGTGACTATGGTCAAAGCCAAACTCAATCCTTAAATCCACCTCCAGGCTTAGGTATATATGTTATGGGAAACAGTGTCTAGTAATTGAGCACAGGAATGGAAGTCGGAAGATTCAAGTTGTTTTCTCTTTTCTGACATGTAGGATACATACAAACAAATACATTACAGCAAGTTAAAGGGGTCAGGGATTTTTGTCACGTGTCAGCTGCTTCTTGGTAATTGTCCCCATATATTCTCTTGATACATGAGAAGTGAAAGTGAAACAGTGATAATGTAATCCTGGTTTCATAGGGAGGCAAGCTGTTGCAGGGTAAGAGTGTGCCCATGGTTACTGTAGAGCAGCCAATGCGTGGCAAGTCCCTTCCCCCTTGTAGGTCACTATATAATTTATTCATTTGTCCATAACTTTACTTGCTGTGTGATGTTGGGCAAGTCACTTTAACCTCTCTTTGCCTCAGTTCCCTGTCTGTAAAATAGGGATAAAACCTACCTCACAGGGGTATTGTGAGGCTTAATTCATTAGTTGGTAAAAAGTTCAGAAATCTTCTGATGGAAGGTGCCCTAGAAATGCAAAATTGTTATTGTTGGGGGTCTTCCAAAAGTTACTGCAATACCCAGGCAAACAGGATGAACTAAGGACCGTTTTGGCCTTTTGGATTTCTTTGGTACTGTGGTTTGTCAGATTTTTGACAGTATTTAAACACCAAATTTTTTTTCTTCTTTTTTTAAAGAAGAATGTTTGGGTTAGTGAAGGAAACATAGCTTTTTATTCCCCTCTCATACAGAGCACCTCACTAATTTGCCCTTCAAATCAATGATAGTTGCTTAGCAGTGGTTCACAATAACCTAGTGCCTGCCCTTCCAGAGGTACTTGCTTAGCCTCTCAGCAGTGCATTGTAATGAGGTCTTTGCAAAATATGCTATAATGCATCTATGAGTATTCTGTAAAGTATTATCAATTTAATTTGTAAAATGAACAAAATATACTTTTTCATGGTAAAACGTTTTGCTAATTAGTATATTTGCATGTTTGAAATTTGGCTTCTCAGTTACTAGTGTGAATTAGTGAGGGTCTACTGTATATCACTAACAACAAATAGAACTAACTGTATATTGGTAAGAACATAGTAGTAATGAAAATCATAACTACTTTTTCTCCTGTTGCTTTTATAGTTGGTCTACTTGTCCTGCCATGGCTGTCACCTTTTGGTAATAGTCTTAATAAATGCATTTGAATAGGTCTGAAAACGTAGCCACTAATTCCATTGTAAAATGTTTAATCTTTTTGTGCCAGAAGTCGTATTTTTCTAGTGCTATGTCCATTGCAGGCAATGGCTAGCTTAAAATAAATAAAAGGAAAAATGAAAAAGGTCTCTGCACCTGGATTTTAAGTACAGTATATATTCAGTATAAGATTAAGGTGGTGGCTGTACAACAGCGGGAACACATTTTGTAAATTCATCATAGCTGTAATGAGCCCAAACTGTAGCCTGATAACTTGCAATATACATCTTGATCTTTTAACTTCATTTAGCTATGGTTATGCAGATTTACTTCTGAAGATCGTAATTCCAGAACATTAGTAGCTTTCTAGAATTTTTGTGGAAGTCTGTCTTTTTAGTCTTTTCTGCCCCCACTCCCAAAGCACAAAACTAGTGAATCTTGTGTGAGTGCAGTGGTGGGAGAGAGAAGCAGTTAATTGTACTGTCATGCATTCCTGGTTTTTTTTTATTATTATTATTATTTTTTTAAATAAAAATATGGAACCCTGATTTGAAGGAAAAAATAACTTGTATTTCATACTGTTTATGCTTTCATTGAAATGGTTCAGGGATATATGAAACATGTATGCAGTGTAAAACATTTTAATGTTTAATCCAGAAATAACAAAAATTCTTAGGCCTATAGAAGACCAGTAGAAGTAGTTCTGATTTGTGATTTTTTTTTGAGAAAAGGATGTAAAGGCTCAATCTTTCAGAAATCTGCATGAGCAGTCCTTTTGCACTTGGAGAAACTACTTGTATTAATAGTTAACGGTGTACAAGACTGTTTGCAGGATTGGCTTCTAAGGACACAATACAGGCTATCTTGAAAAGCTTCTCTTAAGATTCAGGACCTGGTTTTGATGAAGATTTTTAAGTCAAAACAGGTATTGGAATGAATGGTCCTATAGTACTCTTCTAAATTTTGCCACATAAGCACTGTTACCATTTTATCATGAACCTGGTCTGTTCTGCCACTTCTCCTTTGAGTGCCATCACTTCTCCTAGGATTCAAACTCATCTTACTCTGCAACTCTGAAAATCAGATCATAAAACTGGAGGTGCTGACTCGATGGGGATGTAAGAGGAAAACAGCATTTTCTTTCTCTTTTTCTTAGAAAGCTTTTTGTAACCTATTCGCCCATAGGTAACTGCATTTTCATATCTAGACTTTGGGAACAGAATAATTTTTTATTTCAAGATAATATAGCTAAGGTGAGTACTTGAGACACTGTGTTGCCATAGCAATGAGCTATGGTGACGTAGCTTATCACTATGGCGATGTAGCATTAGCGGGCATGAACTGTGATGCCAACACTGTCGCGCAGTAGCTTGTTCCTACTGTGCAGTAAGGTCGGAAACTATCTGTGCAGAGCCAGGACTGCACAGTAACAGTGGTTACTGTGTAGTCATTTTAGTACTAAATGACTACACAGTCATTTAGTACTAATGTTGCTAAAGCAAGTACTAAACAACTGCGCAGTCAGAGGCACGTGTAGATGCACTCCTAGTGTATTTAAATTTCATTACACAGCATCTCTGCTGATGGAGATATTTTTGATTTAAAGCCAGTCTTGAAATTTTCCGTGCTAAATGTAGGCATGATCAGAGGAGTTTTCATTCTTGCTGGTGCCCTTTATTTTGCACACGTACGTTTTCATGCTTTACATGTTTTATAAACATTGGCCTAATACAGGGATGGGCAAAATAGGGCTCACGAGCCAGATTCAGCCTGCCCACTGATTGGAACTGTCCTGTGAGCAGGCACCCACCAGTTGATTGTATCTGGTCTGCATGGGGCCAAGTTCTGCGTAGGGTAGCCCATGCTGAGCTCCTGGCCAGTGCACGCAGTTCCAGCAGAGCTGCTTCCAGTGCAGCTGCAGCCCCCCGGGTACTGTTTGACTACTCCTGCCTCCAGCGGTTCCTCCTCCTCCTCTTCTTCCTCCTGTCCAACCCCCTCCACACTGCTCCAGGCAGCAGTTACTGTGAGCAATCGGCAGCGGCTATAGGGACATGCGCTGGGCACAACATGCCCAGCCAGGTGGGGAGGCGGGAGCTGCAGCTACATGGTTCTTGGTCCAGTGTGTGGGGCTCCGGCTTCAGTTCCCGGCCCCCTTCCACCCATTCTGTGCACCCAGCATGATGAACAGCCGCTTGCAGGTGGCTGAGTGGGTGGAAGGCAGCTTGGAGCTGGAGCTGCGTGCTGGGGCTGTTCGACTAGCTTCCTTTCCTACCTGCTCTGCCAGGCTGCATGTGTGGTGCCTGATTCATGTCCCCATGGCTGCTGTTTCCTCCCTGCTCTACCTGCTGCCTGGAGCAGCACAGCAGAGACAGGTGGAGGAGCTGCTGGAGGCAGAGGTAGCTGAGGAGTACCTGGGTGGCTGCAGCCATGATGGAAGCATCCCTGCCAGGAAGCTGTGCACACTGGCTGGAGCTGGGACCCTTGGTGTGTGCAGGCAGGAGCACACTCTGGGCTACCCCAGGTGAGAGCAGGTGGGGCTCAGCCCCATACAGAGTGCTGTGGGGGAAGCTGCTTGCCAGATGTTTGGGGGTGGGCTGCACCTACACTGAACAGATTGGGCAAGTTCTGCTGCATACACCCCCTAGCCCTCCCCTTCCTTCCTGCCACCCACTGCTGGCTCCCAGGACCTTGCACAAGAGCAGTTGCCAGTTCATCACACATGTGCACCCCCCAATATAGAAGAGTAAGGCTATTTTGAGCTAGTATGCAATCACCTCTATATTCACAGCTCAAAGCCACATAAATCAGGAGAAAAATATTCTTTGAAATAAAATGTTATAGTACATGTTTGGTTTTTAGTATATGATTTGGGGTTTTTTTATTATAGATGAAGTGATATCTTCTGAGAGATTTTTGTGTGTGGCCCTCGACTGGTCACTGAAACTCATTAAGCGGCCTGCTAGCCAAAATAATTGCCCTCCCTGGTCTAATATCTTCTCTGTTCACTGCTGTTGTTGTTTATGATCTGAGTATTTTAAAGAAAAAACTGAGAATGTAACTTTGTTCCCCTTCAGTGCGTGTGGGTCTAGTTAGGCTTTTCTTACATTGATAGCCTCCTTTGTTAAGGAGATTTAAATAGCACATTTTTATTTATTCATCTGACTTCCACAGTGAAATGTGGTCTGGGCGTCTATTAAATGCATGCTAATATTTTATACCTTTGTATAAAAGAGTAAAGCCCTGAGATGGAAAAGAGGTGTAGCTATTCAATGATCTATAAACTAGGATGCCCATCCTAAAAAGAATCTTGCTGCTAAGTCTTACTTGACCAATAGTAGTATACTGTACTTTCACATTCATCTGCACAGACAGAAGTGACAATTCTTGCCTGATCTGGCCACATAAAGCAGTTTATAGCCATGACCAAACACAAGTGCATTGCTGCAGACAGCTTAAAAAATGTCCAGCACAGTGAAAATCTGACTCCTTCATTGCATCAGTTATCTGATGAAGACCTTTCAAAATGTAACATCTTCTGTAACTTGTGTCTGCAGAGCTCCCAGCCTGTCACTGTTTTCAGACTGGGAGGGGGCAAAGGGAGTAGAGGGAGTTCAGTCTGGGTTTTTGTCAGCTCCCCCTTGCAGGGTGGGGCAGGTGTATTAAAGCCCCCTTGAGTGGGGAGGTGGGAGTCCAATTCACCCATCTGACCCTTCAGTACCAACTGGGGAGCCCCAAGAATGAGCTCCATCTGCTGCCTTCCCCCCTCCCATTCTGAAAACAGCACTGGCAGAGAGCCATGGCCATTGCTATGGGAACCTGGCTGCAGGCTCCCAGCCCACAGCTAGATTCCCCTCCCCCCTGGAACCAACTGAACTTCTGTTTGGACCTTGGTAACACTGTAAATCAGAATGCTTTGCAGAAAAGTCTCTGAGTTACAGCTGGGAGCTGCACTTCTCTGCACACAGTGGTTCTCAACCTTTTCAGACTCAAGGCTCTTCTCTATACCTTTTTCAAACTGAGTAGCACCCCCTTTTAAAAACTAATTATGTACAGTGCTTACCTCCTTGCAGAGGGAGCTAGTGGTGGGGTTGAGCAGCAGCCAAACAGAAGGGGCTGAGCTTGCCCTTATCTTCTTATCCCTCAGAGGACCCCTTAAAGACTTGCTCCTCCTGAACCCAAGTTGAAGATCACAGATCTAGAGGGGTTTTTCCCCCTTGAATGCAGGTAAAAACAGAGCTGGCAAATGAGATATAAAACCATCTAAACTGTCTCCTGTCTTAGGTTTTGGTGAAAATTTAAGAATTCTCACTGATCTTTGTCACATGGAGTGTCAATTAAGCAAGGTGCAGTTTTTTTACAAGGAAAAGTAGCTAATTTTGAAAACAATCTGAGGATCAAATTCCCCTCCCTCTTTGCTTAATAATCAGGGATCCTAGTTTTCTCTGTTTAAAAGTTACAAATTCTCTTAGAAAAATCTCAAATTTTCTGATTAAAAAACACAAAATCTTCAATTAAAATGAAACGCCACTATATATATGCATATCAACTGAAGACAATGTTTTATCAATATATTTCCAATTTTAAAGCAATTTGGAAGCCTACCAGTGCCTCAATCGCTATAATAAAATAAATTCTAAGTACCTATACATTTTGGCATTTGATTTTGGATTTTTTTATCATGGAAAATCAGAGCTCCCACTGCCCACCTAGCTCATCAAGACGTAGGTCCAGGCCCCTCACTCAGAAGCTACTCCTCCCTCCTGCCCC